ATAATGACACCAGTGAATATAAACTCTTATATCATCCGGAGTTTTGTGGGGCAGGTGCAGGCGGCAGGTGAACAGGTCCAAACGTCACATGGGAACAATTTAAATGTTTGTAATGTTCATAAACCTGACTTCATAAGTTTTGTGGCAGGTGTTTGTGCAGGGTCATAGTTCACCTGCCACTGCTGAAAGTGAAAGTGAAAGTGAAACCAAACATCAGACCTGAAACCCTGGATCCTTTTGGGCTCATGAATGTTTGCATATTAAAGTTAATATTTAGATGATAATGTGGTTATATACAGTGTGTGTCGTGTGTTGACGTGTGTGTGGTGTGTGTTGTGTGTGACGTGTGTGTGGTGTGTTGTGTGTGGTGTGTTGTGTGTCGTGTGTTGACGTGTGTGTGGTGTGTTGACAGGAGTACTTTGGGACAGGACAGGTGCAGTCTGTGCTCGTCCTCAGACCCACGACTCTGCTGCAGAGAACCCTGTCAGACCTGCTCTTCAAGTTCAACCGAGACGACTTCAGGATGAAGGTGACAACACAAATTATATGATTATAATTATTAATATAATATCATAGATTTATTATTATTATTATTTTATAATTCACTGTCTGAGCTGCAGAGGCTGCACTAGCTCTGACTCCAGACTCTGACTCGTGTTTGATGCAGTTCTCTTTTGCTCCTGCAGGTGGTGATGTTGAGCTCGGTGGCAGAGCTTCACGCTTACATCGACCCGGGACAACTGACCACGGAGCTGGGAGGGCATCAGGAGTACAACCACGAGAGCTGGATCTCCCACAGGACGGTGAGAACCAAGAGAAGAGAGAAAAGAGACAGAAGCTGGAGACCTCCTCAGTGTCACATTCAGTTGATCTGTTCCTTTATGTGTTTATTTACATTTTTTACATTCTGTGTTTATTTTCAGCAGGTTTAGTTTATTTTAAATGTGTGTATTTAGTTTAAACCTCAGTGGTTTGTCGTTTGTGTGTTTTTCAGGCGATCGAGGCGTTCGCTCTGATGTTTAAACGTGTATATTTGGTTTAAACTTGTTCTTTTGTTTTTCAGGCGATCGAGGCGTTCGCTCTGATGGTGACGACCACGGCTCAGGCGTTACAGACGTTTGGGGCGGAGCTCGCGGAGACGGAGCTGCCCAATGACGCGGAGAGCACCAGCGCCCTGCTGAGCGCTCACGGGCAAAAGAAGGACGACATGAAGGTACGAACAAACACCCCTGGAGTTCAGACACACCATCGCCCCCTGCTGCTCAGACTCTGTAACACAGCCTACTGCTGGTAGAGGGCACATGCTCTCTACTGCCCCCTACTGCTCACATGTGTGAATCCTGACCCCTGTGTGACCCTGTGTGTGTGTGACTCTGTGTGTGTGTGTGTGTGTGTGTGTGTGACCTTGTCGTGTGTGTGTGTTGTGTTCAGGAGGACCTGCAGGTGGCGCTGTCTCAGGGCAGGAGGTTGTTGGAGTGTATAAATGAACCTCTGCAGGACGACCCCGAGTATCACATGACCCAGGACGAGATGGAGAACCTGGTCACGGTGCAGAGGTCAGAGGTCACACACGTCTAAACACACACACACACACGTCTAAACACACACACACACGTAAACACACACACACACGTGCCTCACAGTCAGAAGGTCCCTGGTTCATCTCCTGGGCCTGTCTGTGTGAAGTTCTTCCATAAATGTTCACATGGATCAGTAAAATGTTCTTCACATTCTGGGCTTGTTGTGGTGAATTTGCAAAATATTAAAAACATAAAAATACCAAATGTCACAGCGGGTAGTGCGTGTGAATGCGTCTGTGTTTACCAGAATATTCCATGTGAAGTCTTTCTTTCTGGTCTCCAAGGTTACTGGGGCAGCTGGACGAGACGGAGACGGCGTTTGATGATTTCTGGGAGAGACACCGGTTGAAGCTGGAGCAGTGTCTGCAGCTGCGCAACTTCGAGATCAACTTCAGACAAGTGAGAAAAACAAACCCACAGATTTATCTGACACATGTGAACTGTTCACACACTCACCTGTCGCTCCGTCCGCTCACCTGCCTCTCTGTCGACAGGTGCGCTCTCACCTGTCGACCCTGTGGGAGCGAGTGTCCAGTTTCTCTGAGGTCACCGTGAGTCCGGCTCACGCAGAACACGTCCTGAAGGAACTGAGCCCCATCGAAGACCGAGCCGCCGTGAGGAAAAACACACTTTATACAAGAATAATGGTTTAGACCTGGTTTAGTCCAGGTTTAGACCTGGTTTAGTCCTGGTTCAGTCTAACCCGGGTCTCTTTGTGTCCTTCAGGAGGTTCTGGACCTGGCCCGGTCTCTGGTCTCGGAGGGGGACTTCCTGATCTCGAGTTCTCATTACGCCGAGGACTCGATTCGTCCCAAATGTTTGGAGCTTCGCTCGGTCTGTGACGAGGTCGTGTCTGTGCTCAAGAACAAGAAGAACAGTGTTCAGAAAACTCTGGAGCTGCACCGGGCGCTCGAGAAGGT